AACCCGCGGGCTCAGGCAATCCACTCACCTCAGCCTCCCAAAGGCGCAGGATTACAGGCTGAGCCACTGAACCCGGCATAATGTTTTTAATGACATGATTTAGTCCTTATGAGTAGATTTTCTTAAAAAAAGATTCTTTTCTGACTATAAAAGTAAGTCTATTTATTACTTTTTAAAAATGTAGACAATATACAAAAAAATGAAAAGTCATCTTTAATATTTTGAAGTGTAACCTTCAAGATTTTTTCTATGCATATATTAATACATACTTACAAAAATGGGATCATACCATACATGCTGTTTTACTTCCTGTTTTCCATGTCAATAAATAAACATAGTAGCATTTTTTAATTAAATTTTTTTTGTAGAGATGAAGTCTCACTGTGTTCCCTAGGCTGGTCTCAAACTTCTGGGTTTAAGCAATCCTCCCTCTTCAGCTTCCCAAAGTGCTGGGATTACAGGCATGAGCCACCACGCCCGGCCTAATAGCAATTTTAATGCTTTTATGAATACGACACAACTTATTTATCCTACTGATGATGCTTCAGTTGTTTCCAAGTTGTCACTATTTTTTTTTTTTTGAGTCGGAGTCTTCGTCACCCAGGCTGCAGTGCAACGGCAGGATCATGGTTCACGGCAGCCTCCACCTTCTGGGCTCAGGAGATTCTTCTGTCGCAGCCTCCGGAGCAGTTGGGAATACAGGAGCATGCCACCACGCTGGGCTAACTTAAAAAAATTTTTTTTTGTAGAGATGAGATCTCCCTGTGTTGCCCAGGCTGGTCTCAAATAGTCATTATTGTAACAGTTCTCATCATCTTCTCTCCTCGGGACTAATTCCTAGTAGAATTGGTGGATCAAAGAAAATACACATGTAAACTTTTGAAATACATTGTTTACCAATGACCACTCCCCAAAGAAGTATGTATGAAGACTCCTTTCCCCTTGCTCTGGCCAACATAATTATCCCTTTTGATACTGTAAAGTGATCCTGAATTAACACTCAGAAAACAGACTTTCCGGTTTGGAGGCAGAGAAGTGGGAACGTTTATTCCTCCTCAAACAAATCAAAGACATTTGTTAAACGTGATGGCACAGAGAACAGGTTGAAAAGCATTTCGGGACACGAAGGGAACTCTTCCAAATCCCGGGACCGCCCATCCACCCACCCAAAGCAGCCTGGAGCCACGACGTCCCTGTAATGTGCCTGTACCGCCGCTAGATGGCGAAAGGGGGGCCTGGGACCACCGCCCGGCCGGTCCCATCCCTGGCCCTGTTGGCCGCCGGCGGTCAGACCCGGGACCCGCGCAGGCAAGGGGAGGACAGAATCAAACTGGGTGGGGAACACGGGCCCCCGGGCCCAGAGGACACAGAGGAAGGTCCAGGAGAGGGGATTCAGAGTTCCAGGGAGGAAGAGGTGGCTTAGGCGAGCCAACTGTGGCTGCGACGTCCTTCTCATCGCCGGTGCCCGCCGTGCGCTGCGGAGGGACGCCAGGGGGCGCGGCGGCCACAGCCCGCACGAAACTCCACGGGCGCCTCCCGCCAGGCGGGCTAACGGGACCCCGAAACCCCGCCGACCGCACTTCCGCCTTCCTCGGGGGCCCCCGACCGCCGGCCGCTGGGAAGAGCCAGCGCGGTCGTGCCCCCGCTGGGCCCCTGCGCCCCGCGCCGTGGCTGCAGACCCGACGCCAGTCACAGGACCTCGGTGCGTCTCGGCTGCTCTTCTGTGAAATGGGGTCACCAGTGGCCCCTGCTCCAGCGGAGGTTGTTGTGGGGTTAATGGGATAATACACTGTGGCTGGTATGTTTGTACACCCCGTGTAAAACAGTACCCCCCCCCCAAAGAACACCCAACACGCTTGCTTTAACTTCCTGGAGGCAACAGGGGCACGGATCAGAAAGATGAGCCTCGGTCGAGATTGCTGTATTCCATTCTCTCTTCCGGCGCATCCTCTAGTCCTGTGTCCCAAATACGGAAAAGAATGTCACAGACCCCGCTCCTCTCTCTCAGGGAGCCCCTGGGTATAACTGAGACGGCAGGAGCGGTGTACACACGGGAAAACGACTGCAAAAGCCTTACCCGGGTTCAAAGTCAACAGCATCTGACCAAACTCTTGGGAAAGAGTGCCAGTCCCTCCCGGGCAGTTGTGGGCTCTGCCAGAATCCTGGCTCTGCCTGGCACACCTTGCTCCATTCCTTAGACCAAGTCCCAGTTGGAGGGGAGGGCTGATGGCCACCCCTAGGAATGAACGCAGGGAGGGGGAGGGGTGCCGGGCCCTGTGTTGGCAGTTGCCATGGTTTTGCTCCGAGTTCTGGAGTCAACCTGCCCACTCCCTGAGACACTCAGGTCCCAGAAGCAGGTGGTCAGAAGCCAGAGGGGACGTGAGAAGTGTCACCCTGGAGCCTGCTGAGATGGAGGCCTCAGATGGGCAAGGGGGTGAAGGGGATAAGTCACTAGAGAAGGTGATGGGGACCTGGGGATGTAAGAAAAGGAGGGAAGGAGGGCCCTGAGGGTCTGGTTCTGGGAAACAGAGAACATGAAGTTCGAGAAAGACGAGATGAAGGAATGATGGGTTAGCAAGAGGCCTAAAGAGCAAGAGAACCTTCATTCATCCAGATGTTTATGAAAGACAGGTGTTCCGGGCAGATGATGGGAAGGGGTCATGTCTCACAGTTGGTCGTGAAGACTCAAGGGCGGGTGCACATGTGTGTATATGTGATTGTGTGGTGTGTATGCGTGTGTGTGTGTGTGTATGCTGTGTTTATAGAGCCTAGAGGTGTCTGTGTCCCATCCTGTCCATCTACTCCCCTCCCTGTCCCCTGGTCTTTCCCTTCAGTGTGGTCTGGGCTTGGATCTTCCTTGTTCCTCTTGTTCACAGACAGAAATTCATACTTTCTTTCTTTCTTTCTTTTTTTGAGTTAGAGTCTCACTCTGTTGCCCAGACTGGAGTGTAGTGGCACACTCATGGCCACCACAGCCTTGACCTGCTGGGTTCAGGCGATCCTTCCACATTAGCCTTTCCAAGTAGCTGAAACTGCAGGCACATGCTACCACACCTGGCTAATTTTTTTATTTATTGTAGAGACGAGGACTTGCCAAGTTGCCCAGGCTGGTCGAACCCCCGGATTCAGGCAGTCCTCTTGCCTCCACCTCCCAAAGTGCTGGGATTACAGGTGTGAACCACCACATCTGACAGGAATTCATACTTTTCTGAGAAGCATTTGAAAGGTATCAAATCCAGTCATGTCAATCTAATCTGTGTTCTGACTTCTAGTATTAGTATTATTGAGGGCACTCTGTCTCCACTAATTTTCAGCTTCCTTTGCTCCACTTTGGCTTCAAAGTTCTTTCTCGTCATAACTATCATCCATTTTGTTCTGAGTGCCCATGAGATGCGTGGTGTGATACTAACAGGATGTCAAGAGATGGGCCTGGGACTCAGGCAGTCAGTCAACATTTGCTGAATGGGTGAATCCAAGAACCCCTTGCTCATTATCCCAAGGAGCTACTCACATCATGACGCCTCAGTGTTCTCATCTATAACCAGGGATAATGATATCTAACCTCTCTGAATCTGAGGCAGAATAAAATAAGTTAATGTTTACCAAGTGCTTTGCAAAGTTACCCAGTATAATACGTTGTGACTATGATAAAAGAAATAGATAGGACATTCTAGGTTTTAAACACAGATTTTTAGAGGGAATTTTCTCTGCCCAGGACTCACTCATATCAGCTCCAGTTCAAGAAAGAGGTCATGGGGACAACAGAGAAGGGCTTTGGCTGCCATTTGGGCCAGTGCTTGCTCAGCACTGCCCTCAGGAGCAATGGCCCTATCCCCGAGCTGATGGCCCCCTGCTTCCTCCCAGGTGGCAAATGCGCCCTGCTTAGAGAGGAGTTCTAGCATCATCCCTGCCAGAGACTCACTTGTGTGCCATGCCAAGGGCCTGAGGCGGGACATCTTCAAAATCGTGAGTAAGGAGTTAGCCTGGAACCCTGCTCTTTGCTCTCCAGGGGTCAGGAGGCCTGGGTCAGGAATTGATGGGCCTCAGACCCACTTGATGCATTCTTGGGAAGGAAGTAGGATGAAGGGACCACTGGAGCCACCTCACTGAACACACAACACCTCCTGGGCCCATAGAGACTGCAGCCAGGCCAATCTGCTGGATGCTGGGGGCTGCCCGTCTGCCTCTTCTTTTCTCCCATGGCTCCTCACCTCACCTCTTGCCTCCTCAGTGTAAAGAATATCTAAGACCGCTGAAGAAGTTCCTGAGAAAGTTGCACCTGCCCAAGGACCTTCCCCAGAAGAAGCAGCTAATGTACATGAAGCAGAGCCTTGTGGTCCTAGGGGACCACATCAACACCTTTCTGCAGCATCATTGCCAAGCCTGGGAAATCAAACACTGGAGGAAGTATGGCAGCCTCCTTGCCCTTCTCCCCACATCCTGGGCCAGCCCCTCTCTGGTCAAGGTCACATCTTAGTCAAGACCCCCAAGTCCTTCATCTTTATGTGGAGGAGTCAGGATCCTGGAGGAGACAGAGGCAGTGGTGAGAACAGGGTCCCCCTAGTCACTTAGGGCAGCCCCAATCGATCACACCTGGCTCAGATTGAACAACTACCGTGTGCAGGTGTGCCTCACCAGGACAGGATCTTCAGGTTCTGGCAAATTCCACCTTGCCATCCCCCCAACTGGAAACCAGGGGAGCAGCATCTCCCCCAGATGGGTCCTGGGCCAAGACAAATGCCAGAGGGAGAAAGGGCTGTGCTCTGTCTCCCTCAGCCTCTGATCTCTTCTCCCACAGGAGGCTCTGGCGATTTGCTTCCCTCTTCTCGGAACTGGAAGCGAAGCAGCTTCGCCGGCTCTACAAGTACGCCAAGAACAACCAGCCTGCCAAGTTCCTGGTGAGGCGTAGGGAGGCTCCTCTGGCCCAGCTGAGGGTTGGTTGGTGTATTCTTAGTTGTAGGGGGTGGCCTGGGACTAAGTCGTCCTCTGATGCAACCAGTGCCACTCTGGTCCTTCCCAGGGCTCACTGTCTAAGACTCTCCTGTCCCTACTTTTACCCCTGTACTGGGCAGAGTGGGCTGAGGAGGACATAGGCAAAGTGCCAAGTCTCCAGACCCACGCCCTGATATTAGCAGGGGCAGGAACAACCCCAAGGAGCCATGACTGAGAATGGTGGCGGTCAGGCCAAAAGGCACAGCTAGTTTGGGGAAGTATCCCAGGACTATGGACAGAACCTGACCTGGCTTTGTCCTGAAACAGTGGTTCTCAACCGTTATGACATCAGGACATGTTTATCCTTTTAAAAATCATTGAGAACCCCAACAATCCTTTGTTTATGTGGGTTATATCTATTAATATTTATCCTACTAGAAATTGAAGGTATAGACAAGCATGGTGGCATGTGCCTGTGATGCCATCTGCTCTGGAGGCTGAGGTGGAAGGATCACTTGAGCTCAGGAGTTGAAGGCCAGTCTGGGCAATGTAATGAAACCCTTTCTCTAAATAATTTTTTTTTAAGAAATTAAAACTAAAGAAAATATTTTAAATACATGTTTCCTAATTTGTTTAAAAATAAAAACAGGGAGTCCATTACATGCAAACATAAAGAAGTTTTATGACAAATGGCTATATTTTCAAATTAAAAAGGTGAGAAGAGTGGCAGTGTTTTACATTTTTGCAAATCTCCTTAGTGCCTGGCTTAGCAGAAGACAACTGTTTCCACAGTCAACCCTTACGATATATCTGTTTCCACAATCACATATCTGTTTCCACAGTCAACCTTTACGATATGTTGACTTGGTCAAAGTACATGATATGTAGTTGGAGATGACAGGAGCATAAAATGAGCCTCTCCAGATAATTATGGATGTTTTTCTTTAATAACACATCAAAACTCAACAAGTCAGCTTCTTCATTGGAACGTGGAACCTGAACCATATCAATGAACTTTTAAAAATTAACAGACTTTTATTTTTAGAGGTTTCAGGTTTACAGAAAAACCAAGTGGAAAGTACAGAGAATTTCCTTATACTCTGCCCCCTCCTGTTTCCACAGTTATTAGCATCCTATATTAGAGGGGTACATTTGTCCTAATTGATGAGTCAGTATTGATCCATTATTATTAGCTAAAGTCCAAAGTTTATGTTAGGGTTCACTCTTTTTTTTTTTTTTTGAGTTGGAGTCTTACTCTGTCGCCCAGACTGGAGTGCAGTGGCACGCTCCCGGCCACCGCAGCCTCGACCTGCTGGGCCCCGGCGATCCTTCCGTCTCAACCTTCCAAGTAGCTGGAATTATAGGCGTGCGCTACCACGCCCGACTAATTTTGACTTATTGTAGAGATGAGGGCTCGCCAAGTTGCCCAGGTGAGTCTCGAACCTACAAGCTCAGGCAATCCGATCACCTCAGCCTCCCAAAGTGCTGGGATTACAGGCTGAGCCACCGAGCCCAACAGGGTTCACTCTTTGTGTTGTAGTCTATGAGTTTTGACAAATGTATGATAGTATGTATCCACCATTGTAGTATCATACAGAAGAGATATACTGCTCTAAAAACCCCCTTGCAGGCCGGGCATGGTGGCTCAAGCCTGTAATCCCAGTACTTTGGGAGACCAAGGCAAAAAGATTGCTTCAGCTCAGGGTTTTGAGACCAGCCTGGGCAACTTGGTGAGATCTTGTCTCTACATAAAATTTTAAAAATTAGCCAAGTGCAGTAGCGCACACTTGTGGTCCCAGCTACTCAGGAGGCTGAGACGGAAGGATTGCTTGAGTTCAGGAGTTTGAGGCTGCAGTGAGCCGTGATCACGCCACTGCACTACAGCCTGGGTAACAGAGTGAGACCTCAACTCAAAAAAAACAACAAATAACCCTTCCTCTACTGATTCATCCTTCCCTTCCTCCTGCAAACTCCTGGCACATGGCTTTTAGGTTCCCTGCCTCCATAACTTTGCCTTTCCAGAATGTCATATAGTTGGAATCCTACAGTTTGTACCCTTTTCAGATTCATATAAATGAACTCTTCTTTCTAGATTTCATTAGAATCCATTGGTCCCTGTCTTGCACTTTAAATGGACTCCACTTTTCAGGGGGTCCGTGAAGTGAGGTAAAAATGCTTCAGGGACCCTCACTGGTTTGAAAGCCACACTTTGAGAACCACTGGTCCAAAATAATAATCAAAGCTAACAGTTGTAAAGGCCTTCTGTATGTCAGGCACTTTATAATCCCTCATGTCATCTTCAAAAGTAACCCTAAGTGGCAATTAGGAATATTGTTTGTGGTTTGCAGATGAAGACCCCAAATTCAGGGAGGTAACTGGTCCCAAGCCACATAGCAAGTGGGAAGGAAGAACTAGGATTCAACTTCCATCTCCCTCAGATGAAAACCTTGCTCTAGCCAGGCATGGTGGCTTGTGCCTGTAATCTCAGAACCTTGGGAGGCTGAGGTGGCAGTTTGCTTGAGTCCAGGAGTTCAAGACCAGCCTGGGCAACATAGCAAGACTTTGTCTCTACAAAAAACAACAACAACAAAAGCAAGCAAGCAAACAAACAAACAAATTAGCCAGGCATGATGGTGCACACCTCTAGTCCCACCTACTAGGGGTGCTGAGGTGAAAGGATTGCCTGAGCCCAAGAGGTCGAGGCTGTCGTGAGCCATGATTAGTGCCACTGAACTTCAGCCTGGGCGACAGAGTGAGACCCTCACTCAAAAAAAAAAAAAAAAAGCCCTGATCTAACCATGCCCCCACACCACCACCACTTTAACCAAATAAAGTTTTAACCAAGTCTTCATCCACTCTGCCTTTGTTACCATCTGTGAACATGAGATGATTGAATTATTTCGGTGATTTCTTCTCTGAATATAAGGGGCTGCCACTGTAGTGATTTCTAAATTTCTAAACTTAAGTGGCCTGAAAAATTTCAAGCCATTTCCTCAGATTTCCTTTTTTTTTTTTGAGTTGGAATCTCATTCTGTCACCCAGGCTGGAGTGCAGTGGCACACTCACAACCACCGCAGCCTCAACCTGCTGGGCTCAGGCAATCCTTCCACCTCAGCCTTCCAAGGCAGAACTACAGGCGTGTGCTGCCACATCTGATTAATTTTTTGGTTTATTGTAGAGACAAAGTCTCACCAAGTCGCCCATGCTGGTCTTGAACCCCTGGACGCAGGCAATCCTCTCATTTTGGTCTCCCAAAGGTCTGGGATTACAGGCACGAGCCACTGCGCCTGGCCCTTTTTTAAAAAAATTTTTTAGGCCGGGCATGGTGGCTCATGCCTGTAATCCCAGCACTTTGGGAGGCTGGGATGGGAGTATTGCTTGAGCCCAGGAATTCAAGACCAGCATGAGCAATATAACAAGACCTCATCTCTACAAATATCTAAATAAATAACAAACAGATCCAGGCCCGGCACGATGGCACACGCCTTAATCCCAGCACTTTTGAGAGACTGAAATGAGAGGATCCCTTGAGCCTAGAAGTTCAAGACCAGCCTGGGCAACAGAGCAATACCTCCCTTGTCTCTATGAAAAAATTTTAAAAATTAGCCAGGTGTGGTGGTGTGCATCTGTAGTCCCAGTTATTTAGGAGGCTGAGGCAAAAGGGTCGCCTGAGCCCGGTGTGTCAAGACTATGGATGAGCCATGTTCCTGCCACTGCACTCCAACCTGGGCAACAGAGTGAGACCCCCAATTCAAAAAAAAGGGGGCGATTCAAAACTTACAAAGGGGTCAGGTGCAGTGGCTTAAACCTATAACACCAGCACTTTGGAAGACCGAGGCAATAGGATGGCCTGAGCCTGCAGGTTTGATACCAACCTGGGCAACATGGTGAGACCTTGTCTCCACAATAAATATAAAAATTAGCTGGGTATGGTAGTGCATGCCTGTAGTTCTGGCTACTTGGAAGGCTGAGGGAGAAGGATCACCTGAGCCCAGCAGGTTGAGGCTACGGTGGCCGGGAGCGTGTCATTGCACTCCAACCCGGGTGACAGAGTGAAACTCCAACTCAAAAAAATAAAAAAAACTTACAAAAGCTCTTAATTTAAATTTTGGTAAAGTAGAACTTTATTTTTTTTATTTTTTATTTTTTTTTGAGTTGGAGTTTCACTCGGTCGCCCAGACTGGAGTGCAGTGGCCGCTTCCGGCCACCGCAGCCTCGACCTGCTGGGCTCCGGCGATCCTTCCACCTCAGCTTTCCAAGTAGCCGGAATTACAGGCATACGCTACCATACCCAGCTGATTTTTTGATTTATTGTAGAGATGAGGTCTCGCTGCCCAGGCGGGTCTCGAACCCACGGGCTCAGGCAATCCACTCACCTCAGCCTCCCAAAGGCGCGGGATTACAGGCTGAGCCACCGAGCCCGGCTGAACTTTATTTTTTTATTTAGAGTTGGAGTCTCACTCTGTCTTTCAGGCTAGATGGCAGTAGCATGATCACAACTCACCACAGCATCGACCTCCTGGGCTTGGGAGGTCCTGTCTCAGTTTCCTGAGTAGCTGGGACTACAGGCAAATGCCACCACGCCCGGCTAATGTTTTGAGTTTTTTGAAGAGATGAGATCTCACTGGGTTGCCTGGGTTGCCTGGGTTGCTCTCAAACTCCGGGGCTCAAGCAATGCTCCTGCCTCAGTCTCCCAAAGTGCTGGGATTACCGGCATGAGCCACCTCGCCCATCCCTAAATTAGGACTTTATAACAAGTATCAAGCTGGGCTCAGTGGCTCATGCTTGTAATCTCAGCACTTTGAGAGGCAAGAGGATTACTTGAACTTAGGAGTTCGAGACCAGCCTGGGCAACATAGTGACACCTCATCTCTACAAAAAATAAAAATATTAGCTGGGTGTGGTGGCATGCACCTGTAGTCCCAGCTACTCAGGAGGCTAAGGTGGGAGGGTCACTTGAGCCCAGGATGTCAAGGCTGCCATGAGCCATGATCACATGGCCACACTCCAGTCTGGGCGATGCAGTGAGACTCCACCTCAAAAAAACAAAACAAGACCGGGCTCGGTGGCTCAGCCTGTAATCCCAGCACTTTGGAAGGCCAAGGCGAGTGGATTGCCTGAGCCCACTGGTTTGAGACCAGCCCAGGCAACTTGGCGAGACCCTGTCTCTACAAAAAAACAAAATATACCAAAAATTAGCTGAGTATGGTAGCACGCACCTGTAGTTCCGGCTACTTGGAAGGCTGAGGCAGAAGGATCACCGGAGTCTAGCAGGTCGACGCTGGGGTGACTGTGAGCATGCCACGACACTCCAACCTGGGCAATGGAGTGAGATTCCAACTCAAAAAACCACAAAAAACAAAAAAACAAGAATCATTGTTTCATTACAAACACTACAACTCCAAAAAGAAATGGAGGACATGATCTCAAAACTAGGGACAACACAAGAGAGACAGTTGGCATTTTGGCTTTGATGTCCCCAAGGTCCTTTCTCTCCCACATCTGTGATTCTCACCCCATCCTTTTGGCTAGGCAAGAATGAGGTGCAGCCAGATCTCAGCAGTGTCTTAACAAGTGCTGGGCTGGGACGCCCGTATTCAAGTCCCTCTCTTCTCAACACGCTTCTTCACACTGTGACTTTGCTGCAGGTGGCATTCTGCCCCTCGGATGCACCGCAGAGATCCTCACTGCTGGACCAAGAAGACAGTCTGCCCAAGCTCTGCAAAGCCTGGGGGCTGCATGGCATCAGCGGCATGAAGGAGCGACTGTCCAAGATGCAAGCCCGAGGCCAAGAGGCCACCCTCCTGGGGGAGCCCCAATCCCTGGGCCATGCCAGGAGAGGTAAGGCCCCCTGGACATGGAGGCAGTGTATGGATGAAGGGGTTTGCAAGTGGTGTCTGGGTTTTTCCCTGGGGCAGACTCAAGCAGCCAGAAGGCTCTACCTTGGGTCTAACAATTTCCTCCTCCCTCCTCGCCATCGTCTCTCCATGCTGCATTTTTCTTTCTGTCTTTTCCTTCTCCTTTTTCATGTTCTTTTCTCTTTTTAGTCTCCCACCCCAGGCATGCTCATATAGAAAGTTTAAGATGTACAGTTAAGTTTTATAAAGAAGAGAGAAAAATCACCACTACCCAGAGACCACCACCACTATTAACTTTTTGGAGTGTTTCCTTCCTTGTATGTATAATTTCTCCCCAGCAGAGGTCTTACAGAACATAGTTTTTTCTTTCTTTCTTTTTAGTTGGGGTCTCACTCTATATCCAGGCTGGAATATAATCACAGCTCCTAATCACAGCTGCGGCACAATCACAGCTCACTGCAGCCTCAACCTCCTGGGTTCAGGTGATCCTTCTACTTCAGTCTTCTGAGTAACTGAGACTACAAGCACATACCACCATGCCCAGCTAATTTTTGATTTTTTTGTGGAAACGTTACCCAGGCTGGTCTCAAACTCCTGGGCTCAAACAATCCTCCTGCCTCAGCCTCCCAAGTGGTGGCATTACAATCATGAGCCACTGGGCCCGACCCTAATTAATGTATTTTTGAATCTTGCATTTTTCAGTTAACATTTAAACAAAGGCACTTTCCCATGTGTCTAGCAGCAAAGTAGAGGCGGTTTCTAAGTGGCCAAGAGTGTGAACCCTCAGGAAGTGTCCAAGCAGCAGCAGCAGGATACCCACTCTCAGGGTGAGGTAGAGTACAGGGAAAAGGAAGGGATTTATTCCTACAGTGAGTGGGAAGTCCAGCTGGATGGCCTGGGAATGGCCTTCCCAGCAGCTTTGGTCCCTGCAGTGAACTCAGTGCTCAAACTCAGTGCCTGAACTCAGCACCTGGCACTCTGTGCAGAAGCTGTGGGATAGGGGATAGAGTCCCTTTAGAGAGAGTGACCCAGACAAGGTTGTAGCCCATGAGGGTTTCTCCTGTACACTGAGATGCAGAGAAATGTTGCAACCATCCACTTCTCATTCTTCTGGACCTGCCTTCTGGGGCCACAGTTAGATGTCCTTACTCAGCTACTGCTGGGGAAAGTGAGGGCAAACAGGATGACCCGAGGACCTCAGCATGTGGTCCTAAGATGGACCCAAGTGTTCCTCTGAAGGCCTGGCAGGCTGGGGCTAATGTAGGGTAGCAGGTCTCAGGCGACCTCAGGGGCAGCTCCACCAGTCCCTCCTGGACCCAGGGTGAGAGCAGGAAGAAAACAGGTCAGTGGCAGTAGACATGGGTTAGGCATGAGGCCCAGAACCCTGGCTGGGCTCTGTGAGAGCCTTTGGCTCAGTGCCTACAGTTTAAATGGAGGATGTAAAATATACAGTGAGACTTGAATGCATGAAGATCAGTCCATACTAAAGATGCTCTAGGACAAGCAGTCCATGCATCAGATGTGGAAAGTGAGCTCTGGGCATCTAGGCCAGCTTCTCTCTGTACCAAGTGCTTTGTATCTTTTTTTTTTTTAAGTTGGGATCTTGCTCTGTCACCCAGGTTGCAGTTCAGGGGCATGATCACAGTTCACTGTAGTCTCCACCTCCTGGGCTCAGATGGTCCTTCCTCCTCAGTCTCCCAAATAGCTAGGACTTCAGGCACATACTACTATGCCTGGATAATTTTTTTTTTTTTTGAAGGGAAAGGGTCTGTGTTGTCCATGCTGGTCTTGAACTCCTGGGCTTAAGCAATCCACCCGCCTAAGTCTCCCAAAGTGCTGGGATTATAGGCATGAGCCACTGTGCCTGGCCTGTTTTACATCTTTTAATTTCACTCAACCTCTGAAGCATCCTGATAGCATGAGTATTATTATCCCTGTATTACAAATGGGTTGTCTGAGGGCACAGGGCAAAGGCTTTATAAATCAGGACAGACTATCTAGAAGAGGTAATGTTACAGCCTGACTGGGTTCTTATGCCCACTGTCCAGAAAAACCAAGATTGAGGCAGCTGTTACAACAGAGGAAGAGTTTAATATCTCAAAGCAGCTGAGTGAGGAGGGTGGGAGATATTTCTCAAATTCGTCTCCCCAATAATTTAAGGCTAGAACTTTTAAAGGAATAATTTTATGGGTGGAGAGACTAGAGAATGGGCACTGCTGGTTGGTTGGAGATAATGCCATGGGGGGGTATCAAAATTGTCTTTGTACACAGAGCCAGTTTCTGGGAGGGGGAATCACAGTACTGGTGTTCTGGGTCCTGGTGGGGCCTCAGGTCCATTAAGCAGCAGTCTCCAGACTTTTTGGCATCAAGGTTGGTTTCATGGACGATAATTTTTCCATGGACCAGGGGCAGGGGAGAAATGGTTTCAGAATGATTCGAGGGCATTACATATAGTGTGCACTTTATTTCCATTATTATTACATTGTAATATATAATGAAATAATTATACAACTCACATCATGCAGAATCAGTGGGAGCCCTGAGCTTGTTTTCCCTTCAACTAGATGGTCCCATCTGGGGGTGATGAAAGACAGTGACACCCAAAGTGTGTTGCTTTTGTTCAGTCTACTCTGTAATCTTGTTTTGGTGCTATCACTAAAGAAAACCCGCTTCACAAAGAAAATGGAAGCAGTTGGAAATGAAAACAGGTTTTTCAGTGCTTTTGTGGCAATTTCAGGATTTTCTGCCTTGACTTTAATCCAGAACATATGGACATTTGAAGTCGCCTCAAACATACTTATAAGGCCACCATCATTTGTGATCTCAAGCAGTTAGTTGATCCTCTTCTAGCATGAACAAAATTGATTCACCTGGCTTAGTCACAAATGGGTCACAGGTCCATTCCTTCACAGTTTGGAGATCTTTTGTGGTTGGGAAATAATGCACAAACTCTTTTGAAAGCTGAGATAGGTGATCATGCACCAGCTGGGAGAAAGAAGACCCTGGCTTAGTCTCTTTCAAAATCTCTGCTAATGTTTGAAACATGTAAAAAATCCCAGTGTTCATTTGTCGCCCACACAATTTCAGCTTGACTTTGAATGTAGCCACTTTATCTGCTGACTTGAACACAGTTGTTCTCCCTGGAAGTGACAGATTGAGTTCACTGAGCAGGTTGACTATGTCACATAAGTAAGCAAGTTTTGCGACCCATCCTGTGTCACTGAAATGTGCTGCCAGTGGTGACAGTATTCTAAAAGAAATCTCTGGAGCAGCTCTTGTAACTCAAAAACTCTGTCCAGTGATCTACCTGGTAGATTCTACCTTTAGAAAGCCATCTCACTTCTGTGTATAAGAGAAGACATGTGTGTTCTGCATCCATCTCCTCACAGAGCTCCGTGAACAGACGTGAGTTAAGGGCATGTGTTTTAATGTGGTTGATCATTTTAATCACATCGTGCAAAATGTGGTTAAGTTCAGGTGACGTATTTTGGCTAGCTAGCATTTCTCCATGGTTGACACAGAACATAGACTCACATTCAGAAGCAACCTTTTTGACCCGAGCAGTCAAAACCAGAAAGCCGTCCAGTCATGGCAGCCACTCCGTCCATGCATATACTGACGCAAAATGACCAATTCAGTTTTCTTAATATGTAATCACTCAAATACTTGAATAGTTCTACAGCTGTGGTGTTGGTTGGCAACAAAAGTACACATAACATACCCTCATGCACATCCTCCTAAAAAATATATTGCACAAAAACAAGCATTGTTGCCTTTTTGTCAACATTGGTAGACTCGTCAACCTGGATTGCATACCACAGTGACTAATTAATCCTCTCTAACAATTGTGCCTCAAGATCCTCTGCTATTTTACCAATTCATCTAGTTACAGTGCTAGCTGAAAGATGAACACATGCCACCTTTTGAACTGCAGCTCTCCTAAAATTTCACGACAGATGTACTTAGCAGCAGGCAGGACCAACTCCTTCACCAATAGTAAAGGGCTTCTTAGCTTTAGCAATGTGGTTAGCCACTGAGAATGATACTCTCAGTGCACACACATTTGATGAAGTGGTGGCCTTTAATAATTGCTTCTGTTCTACATGTTCACATTTTCTTTTCCTTTTTTTGAGTTGGAGTCTCACTCTGTCACCCAGACTGTAGTGCAGTGACACACTCCCAGCCACAGCAGCCTCGACCTGCTGGGTTCCAGTGATCCTTCCGCCTCAGGCTTCCAAGTAGCTGGAACTACAGGCACGTGCTACCATGCCCAGCTCATTTTGATTTATTGTAGAGATGAGGTCTCGCTAAGTTGCCCAGGCCGGTCTCGAACCCACGGGCTCAGGCAATTCACTCACCTCAGCCTCCGAAAGCGCGGAATTACAGGCTGAACCTGTAATTTAAGTAGGACTTTTAGTGTTCTCTTTGAAGTGCAGCTTTCTTTTTGCTGATAGTCTTAGAATCTTCTGTTGTTTCATCACTGGGTTTTTTCCCCTTTTCAAAGACGCTCTCCAATGACATTTGTTTTTTACTCATTTTGGCTAGGGTTAGCTTGTGCGCTTACCAAAACTGTGACTGAGACAAGTGCACAGCACGGGAAAGAGGCATGGACGGAAGCGGTAAATAAAATAATGGGCAGGCCACGCAGGGACTAAAATAAGTGTCGGATTCTGACTTAAAGCCTGCCACCAGATGCAACTATACTATTGGAGTCCGTCAACTCACTTGCCACTCACTGACAGGGTTTTGATGTGAGTCTGCAAGCAATTGATTTATTATGACTTCTGTGCAGTCAAACCTCACTGCTAATGTTAATCTGTATTTGCAGTCACTCCCCAGCACTAGTATCACCATCTCAGCTCCACCTCAGATTAGATTCTCATAAGGAGCACCCAACCTAGATCCCCTTGCATGCACAGTTCACAAAATAGGGTTTGCACTCCTATGAGAACCTAATGTCCCTGCTGATCTGACAGAATGCAGAGCTCAGGCTGGTAATGCAAGGGATGGGGAGCAGCTGAAACTTCGCTCAGTTACCTGCACTCACCTCCTGCTGTGTGGCCAGGTTTCTAACAGGTCACAAACCAGTACTGGTCTGTGGCCCAGGAGTTGCATTAGGGTACAAAGTTTGAAAAACATCTCAAAAATCATTCTTGGGTTTACAGTAGATACTATCTGTAAAGCAAGTACCATGACCATGGGCAACTGACTCCTGGGCAATTACAGAGGTAGTTGAGGGAGAAGGTATGTCAGATGCGGGGTCCCTGGAGGTAAAGGCGTTTGTGCCCTTCAAGGGATGAAACTTCGGGCTGCCATCAAGGAGATCTGTGCAACTTTAGACTCATCATTTATCTGTACAATCTTAGGCCCGTTGTTTAAGGGAAAATATGTTTATCAACCTCATGGGAAACTTCCCCCTCCTCAGGGATCAGGGCATGAAGATAATTTTTCTCTATTGAATTGTTTGTGAAACAGTCATGCCAGCAGGAGAGCAAACTTAGAAGCAACATACTTGTTAATTTCTTTTTCTTTTTGAGTAGGAGTCTCACTCTGTCACCTAGACTAGAGTGCAGAGGCATGCTCACGGCCACCACAGTCTCGACTTGCTGGGCTCACACGATCCTTCTGCCTCAGCCTTCCAAGTAACTGGAACCACAGGCGTGTACCACCACATCCAGCTAATTTTTTGATTTATTGTAGAGACAAGGTCTCGCCAAGATGCCCAGGCTGGTCTCGAACCCCAGGACTCAGCAATCCTCTTGCCTCCACCTCCCAAAGTGCTTGGATTACAGGCATGAGCCACCACACCCAACTTAGATTTGTTCATTTCTAACCATAGCTGCAGCTTTGCAGGGTCTCTTCTACAGCTGTTACTCTATGGCTCTATATTAACAGTATACAGGTGATTTTAGTAAGTTTGGGACAGGTTTTAAATAAAAGTATAAGGAGATGGATGGAGAAGGGAAGAGACAAGTGCAAAGAAAGGTGTATGTAGAGGTGAAGGCTGTGTGCAGAGGTGAAGACTATGAGCAGACGATCTGGGCTTAGCAGTGAATGGAAGAGCAGGTTGGAGATGTGCTGGGAGGGGTGTAACAAGAAAAAGCCTTGGATGGTGTCTTGAGTAGGAGACTTACTGTAGTAATTAATTGTAATGATTGGTTTTCATACAATCATTACAATTAATTACTACAGTAAGTCCCCTACATACGAACTTTGAAGTTCCAAACTTTCAAAGATGCAAACATGCATTCACATGTCCAGTCATGTAAGTTAGTTCACATGTCTGGCATACATTGTCATGTGCATACATTTTCTACAAGTGGATGTGCTTTTGTGTACTTTACTGTAGAGTACTGTTTAGAGTACAGTAGCACAATATCTTTATTTCAAGTCCAGGATGTCTGGAAGCAAGCATAAAAGCAGCAGTGATGTGGCTGGTATTGTATAGCCGATTGTGTTAGTTTTGGGTACCCAGGCTATTTTCGTTGGACTTATGAACAAATTGAACTTACACATTATTGGAACAAAACTTGTTTGTATGTAGGGGACTTACTGTATTAACTTAAATATAGAACATTACATAATGCAGATAAGAAAATATAAACATCACGTTGTCATCACCACTGCTAACACTTTCCAAATCTTTTTTATGGGCATAAAGTATGTATTTTAACCCAAATGAGACCATGTTGTATATACTATCTTGATTTGAACTTGCCTTTTTTTAGTTAACGGTATCAACCTTTTCATTTTCATTTCATCTGAAGTCGGATTAAATATTCCATATTCAAATTTCCCCAACAGAGACAACTTTTGCACTGGTTTCTCAAACTATGTATTTCACTTGGTTATGTGTCTTAAATCTTTTAACTTAACAAAGTCCCCCCACCTTTTATCTTTGAGTTGGAGTCTCACTGTGTTGCCCAGGCTGGAGGGCAATGGCACACTCACAGTCACTGCAGCCTTGACCTTCTGGACTCAGACGATCCTTTCACCTCAACTTTCCAAGTGTCCGGAACTACAGGCACATGCTACCATACCTGGCTTTTTTTTTTTTTTTTAATTGTAGAGATGAGGTCTCACCAAGTTGCCCAGGCTGGTCTCGAACCCCTGAATTCAAGCAATCCTCTCGCCTTGACCTCTCAAAGTGCTGGGATTACAGGCTTGAGCCACTGCGCCTGGTCCAAAGTCCCCTTTTTAATGTGGAAAAGATCAGGTTATTGTTCTGCAGAACATTCAGCTTCCTGATTTTTTTCTTGTTGCTTCCTTTTGGCAGCTTTTAACTTGTTCCCCTATCTATAAACCAGACTTTAAATTGAAAATCTTCATGGACTCAAATTAAACATTTTTAAAACTAGGATACATTAGAGATAAGACTGTGTTCTTCCTATTGTTATATGAGAAAGCATATAATATCTGGTGGACCCACCTGGAATGGCTAAGATTAATTACAAATTAAGTACAAAGCTGCAGGTGAGTCATGATCTCACTGCTGTACTCCACCCTGGATTACAGAGAAAGACCCTGTTTCTAAAATAAAAAATAACCTTCATGGTATTTCTTTGTCACTATTGTTACAGTCTGACCAGGTTTTTATGCCCACTGCAGAGAAAAACCAGTGCACCAATTGCAGTTATTGCCATAGAGAAAGAGTTTAATAAATGCAAGATCACTGAGTGGGAGGATGAGAGATATTTCTCAAATCCACCTTCTCCAAAATTTTAGGCTAGGTTTTTTTTTTTTTTTTTTCGGTTTTTTGTTTTTGTTTTTGTTTTTAGTAGGAATATCATTCTGTCACCCAGGCTGGAGTGCAATGTCACAATCATACAGGCATAAGCCACTGTGCTCAGTTAGACTAGGGTTTTTTGTTTGTTTTTTAAAATGATTTGGCAAGCAGGGGCTAGGGAATGGGCATTGCTGGGTTGAAGAAATGGGGGCACTGCAACTACCTTCATATGCCAAGCCAGTTTCTAGGAGAGGGCGTTTATAGGACCAAGAGAATCAGCTCCTTGGCAGTGTCCTGGGTCCAAATGGGGTTACAGGCCCATCTCAAATACCATTCTCAGGTTTTACAATAGATACTATCTTATAAAACAAGTGCTGCAACCATTGCTACTGACCCAGCAGTTAGCCATTGTGGTGGTAGTTTAGGAGGAAGGTAAGTGGGAGGTGGGGTCCCTGGAGATTAGAGCTGCTTGTGATTTCAGTGATCCAACTTCAGGACGCCTTTAAGGAGATCTGTGCAGCCTTTCGCTCATTGTTGAAGGGGGGATACGTTTATCAACCTCAGGAGCCACGTCCCCCTTCTCAGAGGTCAGATCATGAAGATAATTGTTCTCTATTGAAGTGTTTGTGTAAACAGTCATGCCAGGAGGAGGAGAGCAAATTTAGAGGCAACAGATTTGCTAATTTCTACCCATAGCTGCAGCTTTGCAGGGCTCAGGTCTCTTCAAAAGCTTTTACCCTATGGCCCTATATTAATTTTATGAAGGTGGTTTTGCTATAAGTCAGTTTTTAATTAACACTTGGCAGTCGTGTTAGCAAATAGTCCAGCAGTAAAGTACTGGGAACTGGGTCATGAGACCTGAGATGGGAGTAAGGAGCAATCAGTCCTATGCCAGAGATCAAGCACGCTTGCGTCTGGTTCTGACGATGCCCCTAACTTGCCATAATGCTTTGGGCAGGTCATTTCCTTACTGTGGGCCTAGGTTGGAGTCCTCATCTGTAAATTGGGGGTGAGGATGGCATCTCCCTACCTCACAAAGAAAAGAGTAAGGGATGTAGGTTGGAAGTAAGTTAATCTGCCCCCATATGTTACAGACTGAGATTCTTTTATTATTTGTGATGTCATCCGGACTGTCTTCTAACTTCCTTTTTCAGATTCTTTACGGAAACTTCCTCAAAAACCAAAACTCAAGAGAAAGAGGATAAAGGAAGTCCCAGAAACTCCAGACATCTGCCCATAAGAAGACCTGCTGGGACAGAGGGCTCCCAAGGGCACCTCTGGCCCTGGGGGAATGGAGACCAAAGAGGGGAAGGAAGAAAATAATCCTTATCAAAAGGATGCTCAGGCCTTAATTATGAATCAATGGGGTGGGAAATAAACATCCTTAAGACAGTTCTACTTGGCTTGGCTTATAGTCACCACTTACTCGTTTTTTTTTTAGGAATACTTTCAGACATCATCAAAGTGGCAGGTGCTGCACATATGCACAGCTGAGTAAGATGTGGTCACTAGTGTCAAGGCCCATCGCAGCCTAGTGGTGGAGACAGATACATCATAGACATGACAGCAGGGTGAGCACAGGTGATTGGGGAGGGCCTCAGGGGCAGTAGCAGAGGCACTGAGTGTTTGCCAGGTGAGAGCACAACTGAGGAGGGAGCGAGCCTGGGATCAGGCAGGCTACAGCAAGTCTGGCAGCCTGCAAAATCATCTGGACTTCATTTTGTGGACAATTTGGGGGTGGGCAGTGGCAAGGGAGGTGTCAAGCAGCGGAATGAATTGGTATGACTTGGGTACTGGGGAGATGCTCCAGTGACTGTGAGCAGCGTGCGTGGATGTGAGTGAGGCTAGAGAAGGAGGCCAAAAAGGAAACAGTACCAAGAGTCTCATCTAGGAGGGGGGCTCAAGCCAGTAGCCAGAAACTTGGCAGCCTGGGTGCTAAGATCAGGACACCAACATGTTTTGTTTGTCCCTAGTGGTGTTCTACTTGTTTAAAACATTAAAAAGACCATTGTTTTGTTAAGCACTGGCCAGGTCATCTTTTCCTAAGCTTTGGTTCCCTCCCCTACCTTGGGGAGGTGAATATCTCTCTCTCTAATTTACTTTCTAAATAAATGATATTTTCCAGTGTTAAAAAAAAAGTTTTTTTAATTAGCTGCCAATATTAAAATTTGGTATATTTCTTTCTTTTTTTCTTTTTGAGTTGGAGTCTCTCACTCTGTCGCCCAGGCTGAAGTGCAGTGGCACACTCACGGCCACCACAGCCTCGACCTGCCGGGCTCAGGGGATCTTTCCGCCTCAGCCTTCCAAGTAGCTGGAACTACAGACATGCACCACCATGCCTGGCTAATTTTTTGATTTATTGTAGAAATGAGGTCTCACTAAGTTGCCCAGTCTGGTTTGGAACCCGTGGGCTCGGGCAATCTTCTTACCTTGGCCTCCCAAAGTGCTGGGATTGTAAGCATGAGCCACCGCACCCAGCCAAAAATTTAGTATATTTCACATGAAAATAACAACAGATTTCTGGTTTCTCATAAATACTGCTCACACTTGGGCCTGCATTCACACATAACAATTGGCTGGGGCTGAGAAGCAGCTGCAAGACTTCACTGACGCGCTTTCCAGCTCACCATAGTCCCCACCCCTTCTTACTGCCTTACACACTGGCCCGCTTCACCTAGGTAGATCAGCTGCATGACCCTTGCAGCCTTTATAACTCGCTGCCCCTGGAGCATACAAGGCAATGAAGGTGTGCAAAAAAGGGAGAGAGTGAATTTATGAGATTATATAAGGTAAAACTGACAGTATTTGCTGACAGATGTGAGTGATGAGAAAGGGGAGGAGGAGGAAGTAAAGATGGTACATAGTCTCTAGCTAGAGAGATCAGGTAGATGGTAATCAACTACAGGAGGAGAAGCAGGTCCAATCATTTTCCAAAACACAGAAGACAGGTAATCAGGATGTGGCCCAAGGCAGCAGCATGCAGGGAGGGCCCAGTGCTGCCCTAGAGCGGGTACAATACGTGTAACTCGTCTCGCTTCCCTCCGTATGTATTTAGGAGTGAATATCATCATAACCTTAAATGTTAAAATGAGTATCAGTCCAGTCTTGAAGAACACGGACAGGAAAGCATCGATAGGGAACAGAGTGAGGGAGGGACAGCACCATCTCTTCCGCCTAGCCATCCCCTCCTAGAAATGGCCAGATGAGCCTACTACAACACAAGCCTGGGGGCAGCCATCTTGGCTGGTGCCTGATTGCTTTGTCAAAGCAGGGAGGATTTCAGAGATGGGAAAGCAGCTGGAGGGTGTCTGTGAGGCTGAGGGGCTCTCCAGTTTTCTACTCCTGAGAGATTTTACTGACAAGTGAAATCTGGCTGGGAAACAGTTCAAGAGAGGTGTTCCCTGTGTGTAAGACAGCAGCACCTCCACCTAGAGGAATTGTGGGACACTACAGCCTTAGTCTTCCAATCAGGACAAAAATGATGAAGACTTTTTAAAAGGGAGTTGGGGGATTTGAATCAGCCTGGAGAACAGTCGGGAGACCTGAAGGCAAAACAGGCAACGAGTGAGGCTTGGCTCTGAACCCTCCTAACTCCTTCCTCAAATTCATTAGGCTTTTAGAATCCCCAAAAGGTAGTTCACATGTCATTTATCGGGTCAAACCCTCCACCCCTTCTTCATTTCACAAAGTCATGGCAAGGGCCCACAAAGCTCCCTAAGATCTAGCCCCACTGTCCATTTCATAAGCTCTCTGTCCTCATCCTTGCTTTTCTCATCCTAGCCAAGCAAGCATGTCTCAGGGCCTTTTCACGGGTTGTTTCCTCTGTCTGGAATACTCTTCCCAAGACATTCACTTGGCTAACTCCTTCATTTGTTCAAATGTCACCTCCTCAGTGTAGCCTCGCTTTAAAAGGTAACCCCACCCCAGATACACACTCTGAACATTGCTTACTCTGTTTTCTCAGAGAAGTTATAACCCTCAAATACTGCGTAATTTATTTAATAAGCATATTTCTTGTTTATTGACTGTTTTGTTCCCTTAAAATTAAGTTCCAGAAGGGCAGGGTTTTTGTTTTGTTTGTTGCTGTATCTGAAACAAAAAGAGTACCCAGCACATAGTAGGTACTTAACAAACTTTTATTTAATGAACTGAAACAGAGGATGTTGACCAACCACCTCCCAGGTCAGAGGGAAAACACAGATCCAAGAAGAAAGGTGACTTCTCCAAGGTTGTACAGGAAGTCAATGACAAACTGGAACTGGAATGCAGACCTGATTTCTGCCAGGACATTTTTTACATACCAGTGATGTGTTTCATCTACTCTCGGCCAATACATTCATTTCTTTTTTATTTTTATTTTTTTATTTGTAGAGATGAGGTCTCATTATGCTGCCCAGTCTCAAACATCTGGTCTCAAGTGAGCCTCCCACCTTGGCCTCCCAAAGTGAATTACAGGCATGAGCCACCACACCCAGCCCAACACACTCATTTCTCACAAAATAATCCTCAAGATGAAATGTTATTACTTCTCCTAGGATTGCGTTTTCTCAGTTAAGGTACTTCTACCCAAAGTATAATGGTAGACTTGGGGACACCAGGAACATGTGATTGGGGGAGGCTATTGGGAAGTGGGGAGCCTTGGTGGATATCCCCAAGTTATCCCTTGGCCTATGATGCCTTAAGAGGGAGGTTCACCCTACAGAAAATGCCTCACTGATGGCCAGACCAGGCAGCCCTCAAAAAGGGTCCTTTTCCTAGAGAATAAAGGGTACTTTACCTAAAGTTTTATTTATTTTTGGAGTTAGGGTCTTGCTCTGTCTCCCAGGCTGCAGTGCAGTGGTACAACCATAGCTCATTGCAGCCTCAAACTCCTGGACTTAGGTGATCCTCCCACCTTGGCCTCCCAAGTAGCTGGGACTACAGGCATGAGCCACTGCACCCGGTGACTCTCCCTAGTTTTAAAGGGAAGAGGCAGCCGGGCGCAGTGGTTCAAGCCTGTAATCCCAGCACTTTGGGAGGCTGAGGTGAGAGAACTGCCTGAGCCCAGGGGTTCGAGGCCAGCCTGGGCAACTTAGTGAGACCTTGTCTCTACAATATATCAACAACAAAAAAATTCGCGCATGCCTGTAGTTCCGGCTACTTGGAAGGCTGAGGCGGAGGGATCACCTGTGCCAACGCGTCAACTCTGGGGTGGCCGTGAGTATGCCACTGTACTTCAGCCTGGGCGACAGAGTGAGACTCTGACTCAAAAAAATGAAATGAAATGAAATAAAGGGAAGAGGCTCCTAGCCACAAACGTAATGACTGAATCCTGCCTGACCCATTCCCACCCAGTCTCCCGAGTCACCCAGTTTCCTCTTTATAACAACACTATCACAATGCATGTAACTCAGGAGATGGCAAAGTGCTTTGTTCATTCTCATTGGATTTTTGTGTCAAACATGTGAGGAAGACTCCTTCCCATTACAGAGAAGAAAACAGGAATTTAGAACTGGCACAGCTGGTGGAGACTGGCCAGGCCTCCTGACTCCATACACAGTGCTTCTGTCTTTTGACTTTATGATGTTTTTGTTTTTACATGCAGACATTTTCTATTTTTATGTAGTTAAACCACCAGTCTTTTCTTTATGGCCTTTTATGACTTTGAAAGGCCTTCCTCAGAGCATATTTAAAATTCCCTTGTTTCCTTCTAGCCCTTTTCAGGGCAGTGTTTACATCTATTTTTATTTTACTGATATATATATTCCTTTAAATAGAGATGAGGTCTTGCTATATTGCCCAGGCTTGTCTTTCACTCCTGGACTCAAGCAATCCTCCCACCTTGGTCTCACAAAGTGCTGGGATTACAGGTATGAGCCATTGTGCCTGGCCAGTGTTTAAATTACTGACCTCTCTGAAACTTATTTTGATTTAAATTGTGTAGTAGGAATTCAATATATATCTCTTCAGATGGCTAACCAGTTGTCCTTGCACATGTGGGAGTGTGTTTATAGGCTACCATATAGGGGAGAAATTCATCTCTGCACTTATTTGAAATGCCATCCTTTTTATATATTAAATTCTTGATTTATTTGGGGTCTATTTCTGAATTTTCTGTTCTAGTCTGTCTACATAGGGTTGGGATTTACTAAAAAATAAACTGCCATAACAAAATAAGATGTGGTTGAGAGTTTACAGATTCAAAAAAGAAGCAAATAGAACTTTTAGAAATGAACAAGTCATTGGTATTAAAAATCTCATGAACCAGACTCAGTGGTGCATGCCTGCAGTCCCAACTACTCTCAGAAGGCTGAGGGCAGGAGGATCGCTTGAACCCAGGTATTTGAGACCAGCTTGGGCAACAGAATGACACTCTGTCTCAAGGAACAAAAATAAAACAAAAACATCTCATGGTCAAGTTAAACAGTAGGTTAACATCTGAATCATTCTTAACGTCAAAGAGAGAAATAGCCAGTCATTATGTAATAGGAAAGAGAAATACTCCAACTATTCAAACAGCCAGCAAGAGTGAAAAAGCCTGATTCTGTCCTGAGAATTTAAATGCAAATCAATTTTGCCATGTTACACCAAATAGCTCTAATTCAGAAATCAATCACTCTTAATCAAGGCACTCTGGAAGCAAACATTCATTTTTTTTTTCTCAAATTTTATGCACTCATACTTAACTGCTTATGCAAATTGAAGTCTTTATTCACAATTTTTTTTTTTTTAATTGTGGTAAGGCCGGGCATGGTGGCTCAAACCTGTAATCCCAGCACTTTGGGAGACCAAGGCGAAAGGACTGCCTGAACCTAGAGGTTAAAGACCAGCCTGGGCAACTTGGAGAGATCTTGTCTCTACAATAAGTAAAAAAATAAGCCTGGCATGGTAGTTCTCACCTGTAATTCCAGCTACTTGGAAGGCTGAGGCAGGAGAGTTACCTAAGCCCAGCAGGTCGAGGCTGTGGTGGCCATGAGCGTGCCACTGCACTCTAGCCTGGGCAAGAGTGAGACTCCAACTCAAAATAGGATGACTCATCATGTTGACCACAGCAAATACCATTTCACATTCTCACCAACAGTGAGTACGCAGGGGCTCTAATTTCTCCACATCCTTGTCATTATTTTCTGTTGTTTTTAGTTAATAGCCACCTTAACGGGTGTTTGTCTTGAATTTTAGAACTACAGAAATAACTGTGTTTAAAGTAACTGGGTGGTTTGCTAACATACTTATAACAGTGTTGGTCACAAGGTAAACTGTTATGCTTGTTGAATAAAGGCACAAAATCAGCAAAGTTTACAAGCTGAAAAGTCTTAATACTGTAAGTTATATAGCCATACAGTAATTGCTTTAACAACGCTCTGAATAAAATGCTGCTTTTGTAACAAGTTTCAGCTCAAGTTCTCAAGCTTTAAGGGAAGGTTTCCTCTGACCTTTGAGCTTGACAGGTAAGACTACCCAGGAAATGGTATCCCACACAGAAGAGGAAATAGCATGTTCACAGGTTAAAAGTCATGGAGATAAAAAAAGTTAAAAACATGGTATTGCTGAAGGTGGCAAGCAACGAAGCTGCTGCTGACTACATTCCAAGTGAAGGTGAAATTTTGTCTCAGATATCTTCTTTATAATCTTAAAATATGGCTTTATTTCCTGGAACGATTTTTTGAGCACTTAACATTTATGCTGTTTCATGGTGGAGCTTTTTAAAGACCTAACTTGACCTCCCTCATTCACATGAGGAAATAAAATCCAAAGAGGGCCATAATGACATAACTCAAAACCCTACAGTTTGGAGATAGCTGGAACTGAAATCGAAATCTAGGGTTTTCTCCACTATTTCCAGCAGAACTTTACCAGTTTTCTGATCATCCACCTTCAGCCTTGTGGAGTGAGAAGACTCTAAAAAGAATGGTTTGGTCACAAATCGCCTTGCGTTAATGTAGTGCTTTGTCTTTTCCAAAGTGCTTTTCATGAGCACAATCTCCAGATGTTGTTACCATGTGCCTTCTCTGCCACACATCCTAATTTTCTTGAACAAGAGCTCTTTGTTTTAGCTCCAACAGTTTCTCTCACTGTTCTCTAACAAAAACAATTTGTAAAGTTTAAACAATCCCAATCCCCAACCAAAAGCAATCACAACTAAATTGGAAACAGATACACTATGAATGCAGGAACACTATATTTATTAGGTCAATAATTCAGTTTTAGCAATACAAGTACAGAATATATCACAATGCTGGTTACAAACATACTTAGTATGGTTTAATAGTTACAAATAATGGTGGGCACTACAAGTTGGTGAGAATGATATGAAAGGTCATTCTGACACAATGAAGAACTGTCTCCAAAAACCTATTTAATGACTTTAGATATTTCTATAGAAATTACTGTGGCACTATTAATGGGGATTTTAATGTGAAGATTGTTAGTGTTTTGCTTTTAACTGTTCCATTAAGAGCTTTTTATTTTGAGCCTTTTAAACTAAAATCCCCTGTTGCTTAATAAAGTATAAAAATAGTACTGACCTGGTAATATTTAACAAAATGTAGCATTCATTCACATCATAAAAGTAGAACTAAATTGATAAGTTTTAGTCACCATGGCAACATATCTTCCCATCAAAGGAATACACAGAAATAAGTAATGTTACACAAATAGTACCTGCAATGGTTATTTAGTGATCCAACACTTAACTGTGCACCACAAACCAAGTTTTCTAGATATCTATATATAGCATATATTTTTTTATCTTAAATTTTACTTCTGAAAAACATGTGCACTTCAACAAACTCACTAAGGCCACTCATGCTATAGATACCTAGGATTGCAATTAAAGAACAGTATAATTTAATAAATCCTAAAGCACACTCCTTCTTATCAACAGGGTAAAACCAGTTTTCTGCCTAAAACATTCCTGAGATTGGTGTTCAAGCTGGCAATTAATCCAAATGTCATATTAACAAAAAGAGAATTTTCTGGCAACGAAGGACCTCCAAAGTCAAGAGATGAGATATGCGTTAATTTTTAAAGCACAAATAAAACTCTTTAAAAATTTTGTACTTATAAATTAGTATTTTTCCAGTAGTAACTTTGCCATCCAAAAAAAGAAATTTGGAAGCAGCAAAGCTACCAATTCTAGGGAAAACATAAAAAGTGGCAGTTAACAAACCTGCTACTTAGCAAATCATTCTTTCCATTTGTAAAATTTTGTCAAAAGCTTCAATCATCCTTTAGGCATGTGTTACTGTTCAGCCTTCTATTTCTACTATAAGGAGCAGCCAAATGGCACCCTCATTATTTTTATGATCACAGCCCCCGTACTTAATTTTCACAAAATTATGAGCGCTTCTTAACAAGCTAGGAACAAGGTCTTTCTCAAATCCTGTATTTTCACAAATGAAAGAATACCTGGGCCGAGGTTACTACAAAGCAATGAGGAGTTCATTTTTAACCAAGCAGAGACAGAGATTTGATGGTAATAAGGGTCCCAATTCCTTGGGCAAAGCCAGCTTGAGGACCCATAAAGATTATGCTCCAAAAAACCCAGTGGGTTCTATTAAACTGATCGCAGGAATGAATGACCACCTGAGCAACACAGGCTAGTGTTAACAGAGCTCCCTGATGCACCCAACTTTAGGAAAAAGACTGGGTAGAAGAGAAGAAGAAAGTTAGAGGGATAAGACCAAAGGGCCCTAATTTAACATTACTTTGCTGAAGCTCCAGAAAAATCTTTAAGTTGACTAGGGCTTTCTTACAACCCCACCATATGTAAAACACTTGTGCAAGCTGTTATTTTGAGATAAATTTTATTCTTTCCTTTCTTTGATTTAGGTTTTAACCCAGTAGAATTTTAACCCAATAAATGATGGTGGCATTCATCTCCAACTTACCCTAAATATCCCTACTAAAAGGATATATCTTACACTTAAAACTATTAGGGTATACCAGAAATAACAGCATATTAAGCCATATCACTAACAGAAAAATGGCAATCTGTTTTTGGAAGCTAGAGTGTACGCATTAAATCAAAGTGGATTTACAGAAAACTATATTAAAGCAGTGGTGATAAGGAGAAATGGCCAATAATGATGTTTAAAACAAAAAACTGGCTGCCACTTGACATTATCACCCTGTGATCCTAGGCTTCTAAATATCATGTTGCTTTATCACTGAGTGTGAGCTAAGTTGAGTTCAAACTGTGCTAGGAAGGATGAGGCTGTAAGTCATTTGCTTGACATCATCCTAGAAAATGCTGTATGTGCACAAAACCAAAAAATACAGGTTGACTGGGGGAAAAAAAAACGTCATATGAAAACATGTTTCAAAATATTTATTGAGAACAATTTACCATGACATTCCTATACCACAAACATACCACTTGATTCTAAACAACCAATAAAAGTATACAAAGCCTATCCTGAAAATATCTTTGGGAGGTATGAAATATATAGGCCCATAAGGATAGAGCTGAGTAACTAAAAATGTTAGTCCTTGATCACACGGACTATTTGGTAATTAATAAAGAGGTGCCACTTGGCATTAGATTGCAATTAACTGGGAGGGGGACCAGCTTCATAAATGACAGGTATGCCATTTGACTTTTTCCAAAATTTAAAAGGAAAATAATTCAACTTGAGGAATAAACCCAGGTTTCTAAATCACATAGTTGCTTGCTTTATCTCCCTAGGTACACCCCCCAGACAATCTCTTCATGGGGACTTAAAACGCACTGGCTCAGAACTAACAAGACTGCAAATAGTTTCAAATAAGGTTATAGTTGGGAAGTTCAAAAAAGTGTTTTAAAATAAAATTTGAACATTCCAATTAATTTTTCTGTACTCAGTGTAACAGATCATTTTTTTCCTTCCCACCCAACATGCATGCTAAAAGAAAACTAAAATTCAACACACATCCACTCACCCACAAACCACTCCAAGCATTAGCAGGAGCAACATCTTTAACAGCCAAGTCATGAACCCCTGAAAATAGGGGGGAACCCAGATTCTTAACTATAGAAGCATCAAATGAACCACTATAGTAAGAATTGAGGTAACAGCAAAAGATCATCTTTTCTTGAATGGCTACATGTCACAAATTCTCAAATTTAAACATTACCTCAACATTAAATAACCCCACTTGCTTTAATAAAAAAAAAAAATGACGTCAAAACCCAACAGAAAGAAAAGGTAGTGAAATAGACATACCATTAGGGGAATCTTTCCATGTGATTCCTGGATTTCAAATGTAATAATCCAGTTGTACTACTATTTGTCATAAAAATGGATTTTCTAAGACATATTTTTGGGCATTTATTTCCATTACTCCCCACAAACCATATAATAACCTAAAATTTCCCATCTGGACATGAACTATTTCATGACTCTTAGCCAATATACTTGTTAATTGCACTGATTATTAGGGCAACATTTTAAATGAAGGGGATGGCTGCAGTAGATATCTATAGACTTGTTTATGGCATTGCCATCTGTGTATCCTGACTAAAGATCTGCCATAAAAATTGCCAAATTTCCCTAATTTGGTATCTATTACATGAATATAATTTTTGCATTATCCCTTTCCATTATACATCTAAATGATACTATTACTGTTAATAGTATATGTAGGATCTAAAACAATAATCTAGAGTCTCTGGTCCAAATAACCACCTCTACATTAGGCTGGTCCTTTTTAGATCCTCCTGGTCCTGTTAGCAAACTCTATCAGAGCATCTTGCACTGTTGTACCAAAAAAAAGTTAAAACTGCTGGTCTATCAGATTTTCTATTACTTACTGATCAACACTGGTCCAGTTTCAGATGAATCTGACAGTCCTTCCCTCGTAATATAGATCTGGGGTGGTTGTATCCACTTTTCTGGGTAAGGGAGCCAAACTTAAGTCAGGATGTCCCTCTTGTATTAGTACTTGTGTTAACTGTTCTATAATGCATATAAAGATTTTCCCCATAAAATTTCTTTACACTGCAGTATTGAATACCTCCACATGGAAGAATTATGTTAAAGAGTTGTTAAAATCATCCTTACATAATAAGAATGCAACTCTTTTAAACTCTTAAATAGTTTTATTTAGGGGGTACTTTTAATGCTTTCAGGCTTTCTGTAAAATGAAATTTTTTTAAAAAAGAAAAAAAAGATTTTCTGTTGTTTGTTCTACTAGGTTGAAAATGTGGGCCAGACTACTTACACATGCGGTACATGCTGAATATAACTGAATATATGCTTATTCCTACAGACACTCTGCAAGATAGGGATCACCCAAAATAGGGTCTTCAATGGACTGGACCAGTGTTTCAATGCAAATTCCAGCCCCCAAAAACAACATGGTTTTGATTTCACAGTATGAATTCCCTGGAATCTGGGAAAAGGTAATTAGTTAACTGAAGTCTTCCCTCAGCAGCTCGGTCCCTCAACATTCTGAGAAATCAGGAAGGACTGAACCACTTCCTCAGTGGACTGGGGGCTGGTGTTGACATCTTCAAGAGCATCGGTCACTGAATACTGCCGATCTCGCAACCGGTTCCAGTTAGACAGAACATTGTGATATTCAAACACTTTCTCGTAATTTCCAATGGAATTGTAAAGTTTAATGAGACCTCGATAATCATATTCTAGTCCACTGTAGCCTTCACCAAACAGTTTCTTCCCTGCAAGTATAAAAGAAAGAAAGAAAGAAAGCTCAAACAATGAAATAACAAGCAGTTTCTACAACACAAACACAAGTTCAATTCTTTAAACAGGGTGGCTGTAAACTGCGGAAGAAACTCTTGGCTCTCTAGACCAGCTACGGGGTATATTGTTAAGATACAAAAAGTAAAGTACAAAAGGGTCTCTACAGTATGCTATCTTTTGTGTAAGAAAGGGAAAATTAAAAATTTGCTTATTTTCTCATTTGTGCAAGAAGATACACAAGAAAGGCCAAATCAGAAACTAGTAAGATTGGTTACCCATAGCAGGTGGGTGGGAACTGAGTAGAACTTAGGGAAAACTACATGTCTCTAAGCATACCTTTCCATATAGTTCCAAGTTTAGGACATTAATATTGCCCTCACTAATAAGTAAACCTTGAACAATTATCATAATACTATAAGAAGGAGATTGGCAGTAGTGCGAAACTGCCAGAGGAAGGGGAGGGGTGGGATTGGCAGTAGTGGGAAGCTGCCAACTGCCAGGAGAGGGGGGACACACCTCATAAACAAGGGTACCTGCATAATGAACATTTGTATACCTAACCCTGAATTGTACCCCACATCTTTAAAAATTAAAATTAAAAAATAAAACATTTCCCATACTTAAAATATTAACAAAGTAAACAAAGATGGAGGGAGGCAAAATGTAACATAACATAAACAAATAAACCTAATTGTTTTTCAAATGAATAATATAACCACACTGAAGGAGGGGTGTGTAAATAAACCCCAAGTAACCTGTGAACACAGTATCCTGAATATGTACTACCTTTAGGCTAGAGATAAAGAAAACTGTAAATAAACATGAAACTAATTAGTAGGTTTGTTTTCACAGAAGTATGAGTTGGCAATTTTAAAAGTACTTTATAAGCATCTGAGAATTGAGCAAGTAAGTCAATATATTATAGATAATGGGGAACCCACATATATATGAATATATGATTTATGACAAAGATAACACAACAGATGGGAAAGGACAGTCTTTTGAAGAAAGGGTCCTAGGTCAACTATATATCCATATGAAAAAATAAAAAAAATTGATCCTGACCTCATATCATAAATAAAATTCAATTTTCAGGATTGTAGATCTAAATGTGGAAGGCTAAACAAAATTTCCAGAAGACCACCTAAAAGAATATCTTCATGACTTTGGGGTAGAAAAAGATTTCTCACAAAAGAAGTATGTTATTCACAAAAGAAATATCAGATGTATTTGATTACAATAAAATTGACAACTTTTGTTCCTTAAAAAGCACCAAAAGAAACCCCAAAATAAAATAAAAATAAGTACCATTAGGAAATAAGCAGTAGAACAAGAGAATAGAAAATGGGCAATATAAAAATAGGCAAGAGTTTTATAGGCACTTCATAAGATGATACCCATAACACCTTATTTTGTACTAGCCCTGAAATGGAAACAACCCAAATGTTCCATGATGCTCATTAACAATGGAATGAATAAATAATATTAATCTAGCATACAGCAATGAAAATTAACAAGTGACAGTGAAAGGCAACATGATATATTTCGTAATTAACGGTCACCTAAAGAAACCAGACACACAAAATAATACATTATATGACTCCATTTTTGTCAAGTTCAAAACAGGTAAATCTGATCTATGTTAAAGTCAGAAGAAGTGAGAAATGTGGGAGTAGTAATTGCACAAATAGTTTAAAATAATTACTTTTGCCTATACTTGACACTCTACTGTCACACTCTTACTACTGACTTCAGCATCAAAAAAGCACCTTTAGCAAAATGTTCTAGATGATTAATGGGTGGCTCCCAAATATCCTTAGCAGCTTCAAAGGCATTTAAGTCTTAGTAATAACATTTCCCTTATATAACATATAAGACGTGCTGACATGATGATCTCTAATCAATTGACTAAAGAAAATTTGAAGGTAACATACCAATTGCTATAGATCGCAAATAAAGTTTCTCGGCATTTTCATACTGATTCATGTCATAATTATATAAAGAAGCCAGATGTCCCACTGAAAGAGCTACTTCATAATCTTCTTGACCAAGAAGCTGCTCTTTAATCTGAATTGCTTTGATGTGCATTTCTTCAGCTTCCTGAAAAATAATTATGCTGAATTAATCATTATACTTTTTATCTCAACAGTTCTTATTCAATTAGTAACATTCTTCTAAACGCCAAAGAAGTTATGAATACCATAAGGTAATCAGATCAAAGAAAATACTATGTTATTTCAAAAGTTGCCTGTGGAAAGCATTATTTTTTTAAACAGCAAACTTCGGTTTTTGGAAATGGCATATAAACTAATGATAGTAATGGTGTCCTATGCCAAAAGTGACAAGTGAAAACTTATTCTGGTAATAAAAATTGTTAGAAGAAACGAACAACAAGAAATTTACAAAATTAATGGTTAGAATAAACTGTTAGAAGAAAATAATTGTTAGAATTAACAATATATTCTAAAATCAGAATTATTTCTTTTGGCTAACAGTTCAAAATTTAACTGAACCTTGTTAAGAAACTCCATACCATGTTAATTTACATAGAAATATTTCATTTTATTTTTTGGAGTTTTGATAACTTTTATTCCAACAAACTAAATTAAAGCTGATTGAGGGATATACAGATTAATTTTCAGGTAAAAGTGAACATCTCAGGCAGACCTCTCATTCATTCCTCACTGCAATCCCAAAGTGAACAATATTAAAATTTATAACCAAAATTATTTTTTCTTTTGAAAAAAATTTTAAAATTGATTTAAAAAATAAATTTATTTATTTAATAAAATAAACTTATTACAGAGACTTGCTATGCTGCCCAGGCTGGCCTCAAACTCTCAGACTCAAACAATTCTCCTGCCCTGGCCTCCCAAAGCACTGGGATTACAGATGTGAGCCACTGTTCCTAGCCCTTAAAACCCAAAATTCTAAAAGGAGTTTAAAATTAGTAATTTGCATTGCTATAATTAATAATACCTGCAACACCTGACATTTCTTGCAATAGCCACCATGTGCCAGGTATTCTAGTATGAACTGTATATACTTAGCTGATTATGTTAACAATTAAGTCTAACAATCATATCAGCTTTTTTTGGTCTGACATGTTCTCTGTTTGGCCATGGTCTCGATTTTCTCATTTTGTTTATATTTAGACCTTTTTTTTAATTTTTAAAAAAGTTTTTAATGTAAAGATGTGGGATACAATTCAGGGTTAGGTATACAATCATTGATCATGCAGGTACCCCTGTTAATGAGGCATGCCCCTCCCTGCCCTAGCAGTTTCCCTCAACTGCCAATTCCCGCCCCCCCCCCCATTTTTTTTTTGAGTTGGAGTCTCACTCCATCTCCCAGGCTGGAGTACAGTGGCACACTCATGGCCACCCCAGCGTCGACCTCCTGGGCTCTGGCGATCCTTTCACCTCAGCCTTCCAAGTAGCTGGAACTATAGGTATGCGCTACCACACTCAGTTGATTTTTTAAATTTATTGTAGAGACGTGGTCTCACTAAGTTGCCTGGCCTGGTCTTGAACCTGTGGGCTCAGGCAATCTACTTGCCTTTGCCTTCTAAAGTGCTGAGATTACAGGCTGAGCCACCGAGCCCAGCTGAGAGTCTA